AAAAAAAAAAAGTAAAAAGATAAACGTAATATCCAATTACTCCAAGTCTTGTAGATGGAAAACAATCATTTTTGTTGGCACTCCTTTGATATTCTTGATGGCAACGGATCACAAGCTTATACTTGTGAATCGAAGATTTGTATAATCCTATATTACTATCGACTTGATAATTTCGAATAGCATATACTTGGCCTTCTTTGAGAAAATCTTTAAACTTTGGAATATTCACCGACCGAATCATCACAGTTATGCGAGCACCTTACAACATAACGTAAATATAAACTTTAACTAATACGTGTATCAATGGGATTATTCAAAATATGTTTGAATTCATTGTAAAATAATTTACCTCTTCATCATGGGATTATTCAAAATATGTTTGAATTCATTGTAAAATAATTTACCTCTTCATCGTGGAAGATGATTTCGAACAAATTCTTGAAATTTGCATCAATTTTTTTTTTCAAAAACACGCACAACCCTTAACTTCAACTATGGCTTATTGGTTCGAGACACATACTTTAGAAATCTCCAAACCACCGGCATTATGAACAGTTAAAATATAAAAAATAAAATAATACTGTAAGTGGTGTAAATTTGAGTGCGTTTTTAAATCAAAGGGTTAATGACCATTTATATAGGCAATTTCAGGAACAAATTAATTTATGAAAAATATATTTTATAAAATTACGTGTTATTCAAACTACTAAAAAAGTTATTCAAAATATTTAGCTTTATTTTTTTGAGCTAAAATCGGCATAAAATCCAATGTTGTATACATTTTATGATATTCAATTATTAAATAATTCAAAAAAAAATAATCTTTAAATTGGAAAAAAAAAATCGTCTCTAACTAAGTACGTAAATTAGAGATTCGGTCGGATGTTTTCTTTGAATTAAATTTGCCAATAATCGGATATTTTCGAATCGTGTGAAAGTTAATCTCTTATCATTTCCGGTTTTGTTTCTTTTTTTAAATTCAAATTTGTACATCCCAACTTTAACTAAAATAAATCTATATATAAAATTTACATCATTTTTTACACTTTAGAGTTCAATAAAATTATGGGGAAAATATATATTATAGAATTTTGTGTTATTGAAACTTTTAAAAAATTTAAACAAAATAATTATCTTTGTTACTTGTGATAATAGATATCTATATGTTTATCCGAAATTGATTATGAAAATTGATTATGAAGATCTTTACACAGTTCGGATGTTACATTTCCCAAGTTATATCAAACTTGACATAGTTATCACAATCTATATGATCTACTAAATTTTAAAAGAGATAGGATTATCACTCAAAAATCGTTGGAATTATGATTTGATTTAAAAGACTGGAACGATAAGTTTTAGCAATTAGAGAAATCAGATGTTACTTTTCCCAAGTTATATCTAACTTGACATTGTTATCTCAATCTATAGGGTCTACTAAAATTTTAAAAGAGAGATAGGGATTATCACTCAAAAATCGGATATTTTTTTTTTTTACAAATTGGCTGCATGTTTTCTTTCGTATGTAAANNAAAAAAAAAAAAAAAAAAAAGGAATACTAAATTATTTCATTTTAAGATTTTCAATAAAATCCTATTTGTTAGTTGACGTTTTTAATTTTTGTTTTTGTATTAACATTTTGATATTTTATATGTTTATATTGGCACATATTTTATTTTTGACGCTTAAAGTAGAAAATAAAAACTGATTATTATTTTAAATATTTCGTCCAAAATTGTAAAAGAAAAAATGGGACTGGAAATGATATGTACTTGAACTTCAACTTCATTAATCAAATTAAATAGTCCAAAAATCATTTATGTAAGCCCCGGCCCAAAAATTATATGTTTAGCTCGACTTTATTTATCAGAAATTATAATATTTTATTTATGGCGAGAATTATTAATATTAATTGCATTTAATTTCAAGTCTAAGCTATAAAGATAGCGTTCAATTTATTTAATTCCCGAACAAGCCCAATTATCTTATTGGACCCAACTATATAATCGAGACATGTTAAATCCTAGCCAAATTTATTTTTATTAGTCGGCCCATTTTAATTCGAGTAGTCGAATTTAATCCCGATACCGAGTACTATTTTAGTTTTCTTAGCCCAACATTAATTATTCGGTCCAAGTAGTAGTATTTATTGTTCCTAAACCCTAGTTAAATTATTCTGAGCCCAAGTCGAATTATAAATCGAGCCCGATAAAAAGCCCAATAAGAAGAAACCCTAGCTTATGCTTCATCTATAAATAGAATGTCTCATCTTACCCTTAGCTCATTTCCTCCACATATATCTTATCCTCATTTCAATCCAAAGAGAGGGAGAGACCCTATCCTATTCATTTTTGTTTAGTATAAATTTGATGGGCAAGGGGTAACCGAGCTACCCGACTCGGGTCGATCTCGAAGGAAGGCTATTCGGAGCTTTGTCTACTAAATGATCGTCCAAAATCACAAAAAGGGAAAATAAAGTCCTAAACATTCTAAACGATTGATTGGGAGGGTTGATTAACACTAATTAAGCACTTAAAAAAACGAGCAATTAATTAAAAGCAAGATCAAATATCGAGCAATTAGCAAACTAGATCACCGAAGTCTCATGCCATAACCATAACGGAATGATAATCAATCGACATACGGAATAAACGAGCTACGAGCATTAGATTGCCAACCCTAGTCGTCTAATCGAGATCAACAAGTAATTAACGGCTCTATCTACTCAAGCAAGTAATCAAGTTCAAGCATTTCCACCATCATCAATCAAATCCAATTTACTCTAATGAACATTATAAGTAAAATCGGAGC